ATAAGCCAATCGACTCTTTCAATTTCCTCTGCCATTTTTACAGGCAAGGAAAGGATAGGGTAGCTCCGACCAACGTGCATCAGTCCCACTTTTCAACTGCACAGTTAGAGCAGTAAAGATGCTTTAGTCAGAACTAAACTTGTACAAGCTTAAAAAATGAAGCAAAACGGTCGTTTTTGCTGCTTCTGCAGCGTACGGTCTGAACGTATCATTAGAAGCATGTAATAGTGCTAGGTGATGCCCTACTGTAGTACTCATAGAAGTGACCTCTAGAGCAGGTGGTTTATCAGCTAAAATAGAAACTAGGTTAGGACTGTGACCAAACAAAATCTGATGTGGACTCTATCGATCCTACTATTTTTGGCCATAAGAGCTCAGTCCAGGGCAGTTTGCCAATAACTCTCATTTTTTTATTTTTCCCCTTCAGGAGGATCTCATTCTGTGTAATTTGTGTGTCTCCAGCAGCCTGTTGCTCAAAGTAAACTTATATGTTTACTTTGAGCCAGTAAACTGGAGCCAGTAAACTGCTGTAGTCCTTTATTTGAATGTGGAAGTTTTTTGCCTTGTCTGTAATTTCATTATTGCTATACTCTCCACCGTTGTCTGTGTGGATCCATGCTAAATCTGAACTTTTTTTTGTGTGCAAAATAACCGGATAGTCTTTGTCAGTATTAACAGAACTGTGTATGAGCCTCTCTAACGGTCTGTTAAAGGGGAACGCCGTTTTTTTTTACATTGGCCCCTTGATTTTACATTATTACATCATGTTCCTCTCAACCATATAAGTTTTGTGTCATTTGGAGCTGTTCTGAAGATATTCCGTTAGGTTATATCCAAGTAATGTCTTCCTATGGGCAAGTGACATGAAGGCACAAACTAAACTGTTTATAATTTATCATTTATTGTACGCCAGCATCCATAACATGTAGGCGAATCACTGTCCCCCAGAAATCCACGGTTATATTTTTTATATTTATATATTTTTTTAAACAAAGCAGAGTGTGTATGATGTCATGATTAATAGAACATGATGTAATAATGTAAAATATAGGGCCCAATGTGTAAAAAAAAAAAAAAAGGCGTTCCCATTTAAGTTAAAAGTTAAAAATGCGTGTGAAACTTTAGAAGAACTTGATGCTTCTCTTTTGCAGACATCTCGGCTGTAGCGAGAACTTCAATTTCATTTCAACACAAGCTGCTATTCTTATCCCCATCTCTTAATGTCCCCTAATGTTCCCCTTCTTCGCAGAGGAGGGAGGGGGGCAGGGGGCGTTTAAATGTGACATCAAATGTCGTGTTTAAAGGGAATAATTGTATCTCAATTAAAAAGCTCTGCAAGTGAGTAAAACTCAAATGCCTACACTTAGGTTGAGCTCTGACCACTTTAACCCAGGGGATGACCCGTGTTTAAAAACCACACACTGGGCCCTGCAAATAACCCTCACAGCTGTCTGTGTCAAAGGGCAGGAAGAGTCTGCTAATGTGTGATCTGCAGTGGAGGTTTATTCATCCTATCCTGTCTCCATTCTAATAGTTAAAGCACTGCTATCATTTTGTTCTTTTTTGTAGTAAAACCCTTCATAAATAATAGGGTATAAAGTCATGAAATTAAATGCTTAGAGTTGATATATTTAATCGGAAGCCTAGGTTTCAAATCTAGGCTGAGTTTCCATTGGTGCATTAAATCTTCATGTTAGATTGTCCTGTTGTACAGGCGTGTGGAATCATGGTTGTTTGGTAAATGTCTTTGCATGTCCCTATGGTGGACTAGTAACCTGTCTGCTGTGTGCCACCTGTTGGCCAATGACCAGTTGACCAAACATTTTGATCATGTGATTAAAAATTACCTTAAACCATTGCAGATGAGGCAAGTACACCCCTGTGAGGTGTTAAAAATGGTTTACGTTCAGAAACCAGGTGTTCTGCATGTGTGTCTCAGTTAATGCAGATATCAAAGTGCGCATTGGTGCAGTCGCCAGTGTTGTTGAAGGAACTTCTTAGGCCCCGTCCACACGAAGCCGAACCCTGGCCTAAACGCACAAATTTTTCACCAAACCAGCCTCTCTTCCATACGAAGCCGGCGTTTCGGGGGTCTGTAAACGATCTTTTTTTTTATTAAGCCTTCAGAGTGGGAAGATTTTGAAACGCCGTTTTCGCGTTTCCATCAATTCAGCACCTGGATTTGACTGAACCACGAAAATGGACCCGCAGGGCAACCATCTATTAATATTAGTGTGCATGCCCAACATTTCGTCGTCTATTTTTGCTTTGGCACCACAGCGCCACTTACAGGCCTTGCATACATTTTGCAGCGTTTTCATGCATTTGTGTGGACGATAACATTTATTTTACGTCTCCGTCTTTACGACAAACGTTCTGGAAAATATTAGCGTTTCGTGTTCGTTTTGACTTCGTGTGGACGGGGCCTTAACCAGAAGAGAAATACGCCACCCATCACACCCACAATCCTAGCTAGTTTAAGGTTGTCCCTCTTGCGTTGTGGCATTAAATGATATAGCGCAGACCACGCTTCAAAATTGGACATAAATCAAAAATATCTGCGTCATTCCTGCGACAAGCTAACTGTGACACACTGCTGCGGGAGTATAACCAGCCCTTGAGAAACTACTCCATGCTTCCATTTCATTATCATAAAAATCAGGTAAAAAAAGGAAGAACAAAAAGGGTCAAGGAATATCTATGAAGGATCTAAGTCATCGTGACTGACTGAGGACTGGAAAGATTTAGCTTGTTTTGGCTGTATGTGGTAATCGGATAAATCTTGGTTAAAACAAAACACAACAAATATCACCTCCATATTATCATTGCCTTTTTCTCAGTTCTGCCACCTAAAACAAGCATTAACACCTGAAGATTTTCAGCCAGATTTAACTCCCCAAAATCCTTTATTTTTTTGTTGTGGAACCAGTTTTTTAATTTAGACTCGTAGGCTGTCAGTGGATTCACCTTTACTGGTAACTGTTAGATTTAGCTTTGGTGAATCTGAAAAACTTGCATATAATTTAAGATCAAACTTTTAATTAATGATATGTGGTTCATGCCTTCTATTTGTGAAGATTTTATGTAACAGTCTAATTGTGTTTAGTGGCCTAGAGGTCGGTCCAGAATGCTTAAGTGAAAGGCGCCTGGACTTTTCTCCTTCCAAAGATATCTACTACTCGAACACTTCTGGCTGCCGTGACTTAAGTGGCTGAGAATCTACCCCACCACTATACTGGGGTCACATGACCACGTTTACATTAAGTAGATTCTGATAAGATTATGGTAGATTAATGTAAATCCTCAGCTGGGAAAGCATGTGTAAAGATGGACTGTGCTCATCTTTATTCACAGGACCCTTGGTGGGTTCGTTTCTCTATGTAACTAAATAAAAAGGTTGGTGGTAAAGAGACCAAATGTTCATCTTTATGAAGTGTCAAAGTAATGAACATACCTGCTCTGAGGCATTGATTAGGCTTTTCCTGCAAATTTGCTCCGATTTCTGTTTTTTTAATAATTAAGAAATATCGCATGTTTTATTTTACAAGATTTGCCACAAGAACATTGTAGTTTAGACATCAAAGTTGATATATTTGACTTAAAGATTTTTTTTTTTTTTATTTAACATAAAGCAAGGGCATCCAAGTACATGCTGGTTGTTTCCACATTATCATTAGAAATGTGATTTCTTAGGTGTTTAGCAGGGAAATGTTTATTTTTCTCCAAGTTTCTCTTTGTAAAGCTTAGTATGCCAGACAAATATAGGATTGTATAAATACATAAGGAAAAAAAACAACTTTCATTTGGTTTAAGGCAAGTACATATTTTAATAAGATCTTTACTTTTTATATATTTGTAAAGTAAGATAAGTGATAAGATGGTGTGACTGCTATTAAGGTTTAAATGAGATGATCTTATCTGGTCTCAAAGCAAATATTGAGCCTGACTGTTAAACATGAGACAGAGGAGGTCTTTAACAGTGTGGCTTATTTTTATCACTGATTGTCAGTCAGAGGGATCAGTTTGCCTGCTTTCTCCCACCTGAAATGTATAACACTCCATTTTTAGAGCTTGTATACAGAATCTACCTCCTGCAGTATAACAGACGTTGATATAATGAATGCAGATATCCTGCTGTTCATCTGTTATAATTCAGACTTATTGTTAAAACCTCAGAGACCAGAAATGAAGCAGTTGTCATTATACATCTTCTCATTCATGTCTGTTAGTTGTTAAGTGTTCAGGAAATAGAGCCAGAAAGGCTCCATTGATCTTTAACAGTCAGGTTTTTATCTGACCTACAAAAGGGTTTTAAGAAGCTATAAAGTCTTTTCTTTTAAACCATTCACACCCTCTGAGGCATCGTCTTGTAAACCAAAGTCTTACAGGAAATGTGTAAATCTCTAAACAGGAACTTTCAACATTCCCATTAGACTTTGGGTTTGTTCTCCCCTTAGTGTGTAACATTAGATCAGGCTCATATGGATGGACTGCGTGTGAGATTTTACTAGAATCAGGTTTCTACTTCATTAATGTTGGGATTTTTATTTATCACACTTGGATCATTGAGTGGTTTGGTTCTCTGCAGTGTCTGATGTAAAACTTAATTTCATCAGACTTATTCAACATCCTGTTTCTGAGAAGTCCAGAAAGCTTGGACCAGTTGTTGCCATGGGAGTGGGTGGGGTCAGCTTTATAACTTCCAGACAGCAGATAGTTGCTTTATGGCTCTTTTATCAGTTGAGTCAGGGTTATTACTAATCAGAATAGTATTATCTGTTTCTGATCTTTATATGTCACTAACCTGTCACACAGTTTATACAGAATCCCCTTTCTGGTCATGCTGACATGACTGGAATGAATGGAAAGTTCAGGATGTGCCAAAGTGTTGCAGTAAACCACTGGAAGATGTGATGCACTGATTTAAAGCTAAAACAGCGATGTGTTGCCTTAACATTCACATTTAGACCAATTCTAAAAATAATATTTTTTGCTTCCAGATTGATAAGTACCTGTACTCCATGCGCTTCTCTGATGAGACGCTGCTGGACATCACCAAGCGCTTCAGAATGGAGCTGGTCAACGGGCTGGGCGGTGACACCAACGCCACCGCCTCGCTAAAGATGCTCCCAACGTTTGTGCGGTCGATCCCGGATGGAACAGGTTAGTTTATCCGAGGTTAAATATTGTCCACCCCAGTTCTGCTGCTGCTGGTTCCTCACAGACTCATCCATCTCATATAGGCTTACTTTTTAATGAAATGACCACAAACTCCTAAATGGTTTAGTTCTAGGGTAGACAACATCTGTCCTGCAGCTTTTGTATGCATCCCTGCTCTAACACACCTGAAACAAAAGTTCAAATGATCCCCTTTGCTTGTCCGTAAGGTTAGGTAAGGTAAGGTTAGCAGAGGCCTGACCATTAACCATTAATTTGTTTCAGGTATGTAGAGGAAGGGATGCATGCAAAAGCTGCAGGGCAGTGCATATGTAGACGCAGCATCCCCACGATGAAACCTAGCTGTTATGGCCCCATCTTCTTAAAGGAATGTTCTGCCTAAGCAGGGATAAAGAAGTTAACAAACTTGACTGGAATTTGAATAATGCTGAATATAGGGGATGATGAGAAGAGCAGGGCAACATACGCTGTCTTGGTCTGACAAAAATAAAAAAATTTGCCTTACCCATTTTCTATCAAACCTTGCATATCAAACTTAACTAGTTGGCAGACGAAGGTATTCATTTTTGCAACTGATTTGATTTTTTTTTTTCTTCCAAAGATTTAAGTGTAACAGAATTTCTAACAGGAAAATAATTCAATGGTGGCAAAAAGATAACATCTAGATGTGCATTATTTCACCCATATGTTGGCTGTTGGTAAAAAGACATTGCCTAAAATAGGATGTTTCACAAGATTAGCTATTCTAGTGAGAAATCCGGCTCAGCTGAATATGAAAAGTCAGGCTGAAACAACAAATCGGATTAATTGTGATTAATTGATCCTAATTATCAGTCTTTCAGGTGATATGTTTACATGAGGTTGACATAGTGGAAAAATTGCAAATCTTCTTCTGGTAATTAAGCTTGTATGAGTGATACAAACAGCAACTTTTAAACAGAGCGTGCACGAGGAGAAATAGGCCCATGCATGCTCTCGCACAGGTTTAGTAGTAGACGTTCCCTTCCGGGAAGCGGGTAGAGCGTTGTGCACGTTTTTTTTTTTTTTTTTTACTGTTTTGGCTGTTTTAAAGTTGCTGTTTGCATCCCTCATATAAGCTTGCTTTCCAAAACAAGATTTGCAAATTTTCCACCATGTCAGACTAACCACAGGTAATAAAAAAATGGGGACGAGCATGTAGGACGACCTTATGTAAACATATCGCCAGAATGATTGAGATTTAGGAGGACCGCTTATTTTGATAATCCACCCGGAAAAAGAGCATCCTCCATTATACCTTTAAGATAAAAAAAAAAAAATCTTCATCTCTCAACATGCTCTTTTCAGAACTCCACAAGTGGAGAACTTTTAGTTTCAGCCAGTTTAATTCTGTAAAATATCTTCTTTAAGGAACCTTTTGCTATCCAATTATTAATCCCTTAAAAGTAATAAACAGATTAATAGATTAGCAAAACAGTTGTAAGCTGCAGCCCTAATGAAAAGCAGGAATGCTTTCCCAATAATTAGAAGTTACAGTTGTATGCCTGTATTTCCAGTGAAATGTATTCCTGCAACGTATTGACCCATTGGCAGGACGCAATGGTCTAATATTATTTTCAAACAGGAAAATTAAATCTAAAAATGCTTTTATATAAGTTTCTCAAGTTGTTAATGGATGTTAAAGGAAACAAAAAAATCCATATAGTTTCACCCATCAGGAATTTATATTCCTATGTGATAAAATCCTGATGGAAAATATTTGTGTCAAAGAGGAGTCATTACTTCTCTCTATTGTCTTTCATGTCAAATAACCTTTGATGCTGTGTTGTTTGTTTTGCTCACAGGCATGATGGATTTTCATATTGTTTATACATGATCAATACTGTTGGTCAGAGCCTCTCTCTCCACATCATCATGCCACTTCTGTTTCCTGTAGTTTCAATGACCCAGCTGTGCTGTGTAATGCTCTGTGCTACACAGAAAAACCTCAGACAAATCGGATGAGCTTTAATCTTGTTGGAGAATCCAAAGTCAGTTTAAACTAAACAGTGATTCTTCCTTAAACTATAGCATTTTCAGTTGGTAATGTTGTTCTTCTAGTCAATAATGATTGTAAAATTACTTTCACTCTAAGTTTTCTACAGTTACCACTTGGAATATTCAATTTAGTTTATTTCTACAGCATCAATTCACAACAAATGGCACTTTACAATTCAACCAGATCATCCAGTCAAATTGATTCAAAGATTTCTATCTAAGGAAAACCATTTGATTGCATCGACTCATTGACTCTTCAGCAATCCCTCACGCCAAGCATGCATGTAGCGACAGTGGAGAGGAAAATTCTCTTTATATCGTATTGATGTATTTTAACAGATTTGGTTAAAAAATGTGCAGTCTTTAATACAAGTGCTCTTTGGTACAGTACGGGCCTAGTTCAATTAGTTTCCACATCGACCCACATCATTTCAGATTAATTTATTGTTTATTTACTTATCATTCATTTCTTTATCTTAATGAGACTGATTTGATAACCTAACATTTTCTAGGGTATTATATTATTTGAGATGGACTCGGCTTTTAAAACATCTTTTTAAATGGTCAGCCTTGTGGAATATGATAATTTTTTCATAATATTCTCTAGCAAAACTGCTGATTTCAAACAACTGAGCTAGATTTCTGCAAAATTGTTTAACGTTTTTAGTTTGCAATTACCATACCATACCACCTTAGATAACTACATACCTTACCACCCTATGTTTATTTATATAGTACTTTAAAAACCCGGCAACACGTGGTTGATCAAATTGCTGCACGACAAGTAAAATGGAAACAATTCTACACCTACAAACGCTACTATAGCAGAATAAGATTAGACTAAAAAGGGCAATCAAGGCCCATCTTGCATGGTGATAAAGACCTAAAAGCAAAAGTGTGCTTTTTAAGTGAGGTCTACAAGGATTATCTGAGGGAACTTTTCTAGGCAGCTTGTTCCAGAGCTCTGGACCAACACTGCATCACCTCTTCTCTGCAGCTGAGTTGAAGCCCCACCCCAGCTCCACAGTATCCTACCGCCACATTCTGATAAGCAGAAGCTCCAAACACTTATCTAATCCAAAAAGTTATAAAATGTTACATAGTAGCGTCATTCAGAAAGAATGAGATTAAACGCCACGTGCCTCAGTAAAATGTTTTTTGATGACCTAAATAAAAAATATGTGCTCCCTGGTGGAACCTGTGGTCTAAAACGATTTTATAAAAATCCAGGAACAAAAGCCTAGTTGTCCTGGACTGTAATCATGTCAACGACTTATTCTGAAACCCTCTCTGTAGTGCTTCCATGCCTTTTACACAATCCAACACCAAGTTGTTTTACATTTCTGTCTGTTCTGATTGTATGTTTCTCTTCTGTTTGACTCCCTCACAGATGTAAGATTTTTCAGCCAGTTTTGTTTTCTTAAAATCTACAGATCTAGGTTTTAAGAAAGAAGCCATATTTTTAGCCTGACCTTATTCTTAGCCTGACCTTCATAGAAGCCTTGGTTTTGTTTTATTTATCAGGGGAAAAGGTCACGTTATGACTCCACTAACTACATTTATAGCAGCTTTATAAAACTTGGAATAAAATGGAATTATAGATCCTCATCACCTATGGATAATCAGCTTTAGTCTAAATATAATGTACTGCATTGCTGTTGCACTCTTGCTAAAACCACAGTATTTAAAAAAGTAAAATTAAAAATGAAAACTCCTTTAAATAGAAAATCTTCCTCCTTGATAAACTTTGCAGCAGGTGATAAAAGCCTGCCATAAAGCTCCTGGTTATGTTAACCATTGATCAAATATTATAACGAAGGTCATGCCAGAATTAAATAGTTTAAAGCAGGGCTGTAAAGATTCCCATCAGCATGTCTGCACATGAAAAAGTAGGAATGCAAAATACTATATTATATTTCTCTTTTCTATCACAAGCATTTTTTTTAATTTATACTAAAATGTTTATATTAAGAGTAAATGCTTCAGTAAAGCATCTCCTTTTAGAATTCGGCTGTTATTTGGATTCTCATGTTCAGTATTTTTCTAACGCTCATATATTTCAGTTCTGTTACCTTTCGGCCGCGGCAAGCATGGGAGCGTAGACGGGATGTGAAGATAAGCAGAGGTTCCCCATCAGAAAGGAAAAGGGATCGTTAAACACACAACCTGTGTTAAACTATAACGCTGACATCTTATTCACGGGTTAGATGGTCTAGTCAAAGTCACGCTTTTTATACTTTCGCCTGTAAAGATGGTTTGCTTTTCTTATCTGTGTTTTTCTAGATATGAAATAAATATCAAAAGAGAAATCATGTATTTAGACCTGTTGGTTCAACTGGGTGGATTGGAAAGGCTCAAACGCTTCATGTTTTCATGCAATGTAATCCCTCTCTTCCTGTACTGATATCTTTTCTCTCTTACTGTGTTCCCATCGCCTCTGCCTCGACAGAGAAAGGAGATTTCATTGCTTTGGATCTGGGAGGCAGTAACTTCAGAATCCTGCGTGTCAAAGTCAGCCATGAGAAAAAACAGACGGTCCAGATGGAGAGTGAGGTCTACGACACGCCAGAGGATATCATTCACGGCAGCGGAACAAGAGTGAGTTTATTTTAGATGTACTCCGGTTCCCATCAGCTCTTCCTGATGATGATGCCACCTTCTCCCTCCTCTTCTCTCCTCCAGCTGTTCGACCATGTGGCCGAGTGTCTAGGCGACTTCATGGAGAAACATGACATCAAAGACAAGAGACTCCCAGTGGGTTTTACCTTCTCCTTCCCCTGCCAGCAGAACAAACTGGATGAGGTAAACACCTTTTTCTAAGGTGTTAAAGTTGCAGCTGAGGTCCTCCAAAAGGAATCGGAAATATTTCTCTTTCCTTCTATCCAGGGCTATCTGATACAATGGACGAAACGTTTCAAAGCCAGCGGGGTGGAAGGGATGGATGTTGTCCAGCTGCTCAACAAAGCCATTAAGAAACGAGGAGTGAGTGACACAATGAGCCATAAGGCTTCCAGTCAGAGCGGGAAATAGTACACAAATTACATGAGAAACTCATCTGTATTCCGTCTCATTTGTTTCAGGACTACGAGGCCGATATCATGGCAGTAGTGAACGATACCGTAGGAACAATGATGACCTGCGGTTTTGATGACCAGCGCTGTGAAGTTGGCATTATCATCGGTGCGGCTTTGTTAAAACAGGAGGGGAAGAAGTCTGATTAGTAAGGGAGGTTAAAGTTTTTTTTCTTTGGCTACAGGTACTGGCACCAACGCTTGCTACATGGAGGAGCTGCGTCACATCGACCTGGTGGAGGGAGACGAGGGCCGCATGTGCGTCAACACTGAGTGGGGGGGATTTGGAGACGACGGCCGGCTGGAGGACCTCAGGACGGAGTTTGATAGAGAGATAGACAGAGGTTCTCTCAACCCCGGCAGCCAGCTGTGAGTTAAAACTTCATGGAAATATTAGACCTGATGGTTCTCCATCACACAGCAGTTTATCCAAAAATAGAGGAATGAGAAGGTCACCAGCATTGTTTTGCTACGCTATATGTACATCTTGATATTTTTCATATTCTTTAACACAGACTTGAGTGTCTTTTATTGAGATTTCAAGTTACATTCAGGAATGTCAGCGAACAAACCATATGAGGACCAAGGAATGCAGCAGACAGCTTATAAAACAATACACATACACTGCTGAGATCAGAGAGAGAGAAGCTGTGAGAGAAAAATTACTTTTAAAAGTGGGATGAAAAGAAATGTATTGATAAAAAGGTCAGAGAAGTCTGATCATGAAGCCCTGCATTTTAATGGCTTTATATCAAGCTCTTCACACCAGCCATCCCTGCTGTGGATCACAGTGGTGGCTGTGTCATGGTGTGGGGAAGCTTTAAGAGACAGGAATCCTGCAAAGAGCTTATGGGAGCTGTTTTTTTTATTTATTCTTTTTTTTATGTGATGCAATCTAAAAATAAAAATTAAGAAAATACATTGAAGTATGTCACATTAAAATGTCATAATATTATCAATAGCTTGTCATTTTATGTAATAAAAAGTGACCCATATCTGACCCATTTCATCTTTCATGACATTTCCTGCAGTTTTGAGAAGATGGTCAGTGGGATGTACATGGGGGAGCTGGTTCGCCTCATCCTGGTAAAGATGGCCCGAGAGGGGCTGCTGTTTGAGGGGAGAATCACCCCTGAGCTGCTTACTAGGGGCACATTTGAGACCAAACATGTTTCAGCAATAGAGAAGTAAGTGCCACCCAAGAAGTAACTGTAGCACTTGTTTGTATGAGAAATAATTACATCTTATGTTTTCTTTTAACCCTTTCTTTTTTTTAGGAGTAAGGAAGGTTTAATCAAGGCAAAAGATATCTTAAGTCGACTTGGCGTGGAACCTTCAGCAGACGACTGCGTCGCTGTACAACACGTGTGTATTCCTGCAAAAGGAGAAAGAAAAACTGCTTAAAATGTTGATGGTGAAATTCAGATTGTTATGTTCTGTTTATCAAGGATAAGCATATATATTCATCAAGAAATAAAATAGTCAATGATCCTTTTTTTTGGGGGGGCAACATTGTTGAGAATAGTTGCTTAACCTTTAGTTTTAGATTAACTAAAATTATGGAAAGGTTTATTTTAAGGAAACGTTTTCAGGTGATACAAGAATAACCTGTTTTTTATGGTCTGCATCCTTTAGGTTTGTGCCATTGTCTCCCACCGCTCTGCTAACCTGGTAGCTGCTGCCCTGGCTGGCATCCTGTTGAGAATGAAGGACAACAGAGGATTGACACGACTCCGAACCACTGTGGGCATTGATGGGTCTCTGTACAAGATGCACCCACAGTGAGTGTGTCGATTATAACTCCCTCCTCACATCTACACCCGCCTGTCTGTTAAAGAAAGGCCTTAAAACGCTCCAATCCAGACACTGAATGATGTTTTTTTTTTTTTTTTCTGTTTGAAGATACGCTCGTCGCCTCCATAAGACCGTCAGACGTTTGGTTCCCGACTGCGACGTCCGCTTCCTTCTATCAGAGAGTGGCAGTGGGAAAGGCGCTGCCATGGTGACAGCCGTGGCCTACAGACTCGCCGATCAATCCCGACAAATCGCCAAGATACTGTCCGAGTTCCGCCTGACGACCGAGCAGCTGCTCGAGGTAAACAAGGAGTTCCCCCATATTGTGTATATTCCACTAAGATGGGCCGACAGCGTTTAGAAAGCTGATGTTTACGTTGTTGCAGGTGAAAAAGAGGATGACGACAGAGATCGAAAACGGTCTTTCAAAGAGTACACAGGACACTGCCACGGTCAAAATGCTGCCTACGTTTGTCCGCCGCACCCCTGACGGCTCAGGTAACCCTCACTTACAAATCTGCCATCTTTGATCTGCTCGGAAAAACTTCTTTTTTTCTAATCCACTGAAGTTTGACCTTTTTTATTTACAGTTCCTGTTCCATAATTAAAACGCTAAAGTCTTTAGCTTCAAATATGCATTCAGGTTATTGAGCTTAATGGGTACCAACTCTGTGACCATTGTGGCCATTTTTGCTTTTTATTACTGAAATCTCAATGTATATTTTTTATAGGCTTTGCTGTTTTTGATACATGGTTTTTCAATTTGAATTGATTCAAAATACTTTTTGAATCCCAAAGGGAAATTAAATCTCGCTGTTACTCATGGGCAGTTTTTAAATGAGATGTTATAGGTGTAGACAGAAAGGATCTTATGTTGGTCACTCTACACACTCTTCAATCCACATTTGTGCAGAAAATGGGGATTTCCTTGCTTTGGACTTGGGTGGAACCAACTTTCGGGTTCTGATGGTCAAGATTCGCTCTGGGAAAAAGAGATCGGTGGAGATGCACAACAAGATTTACGCTATTCCTCTGGAGGTGATGCAGGGAACAGGAGAGGAGGTGAGATTGACAGGAGATCCAAGGAGGAAAAAATAAATGGTTTCTTCCTTTAGATCCTCAAAAACTTTAGAGGTGAGGGATGGGAATCTCAGAATGGATAGAGGGGGAACCAAAGTGTTGCTCATGTTTCCTCCCTATTAGGGTCTCTTTTAAAGGATTCACAGTTATTCTTCCTTATCAGTCCAAATTCCTGAACTTAACTTATAGCCTGGAAAAGAAGCTTCGAATCTTTGTTGTCCAACTGAGTCCAACTGAGTTAATCTGTAGAGTAGTTCTTTTTTCACAGTGCTATGAAAAGCTATTTAGATTGTTTTTTTTTTTGTTATGCCTGTTTTATATCCATAGACTAACTTTAATATATAACTAGATACTTCATATAGGTTTCAAGTAACTATTTAATTAATACATAAAAACATTCCAAGTCAAAAGGGTTTTATTTGATAATATTGGGCTGATTAAGATCACTCCAGTAGAACCTGTTTAACAGGATGACACCAAGAAAAAGCAGCACATCCTGTGCAGATTTATATACATACAACAACAGTTGAGAAACAAAGTCCCTGACGTCTATCAGAAACTGTATTTCTGGAGTCTTGGCATTTCAGTGAATCTTGGGCTACATTCACACTGCAGCTCTTACTGCAAAATTCTGATTTTTTTCGTCAGATCCAATTTTTTTTATGTGGCTGTTCAAATGACTGTGTCAACTTGTGTCCTTGAAGGGGAGCAGCTGTGCAGAAAATTAAAAAAAGACATGTCAGAAGTTGTTGTCAATGGATGGTTTTAAAGCTGCAGATGATGAAAAAAGAAAAGTTAGAAAAAAGGGAGCTAAACGATCCATTATAGCTTTCTGTGGAGCAGTTACACTTCAAATGTGTGGGTACGGCTTCGTAATCAACTGACCCCTCAAGTTTCTTGGATGTTGGAGCCGACCAAATATTTGATTGTCCATCCACTGTACACTTTGTCTACGCTGTCCTCTGTTTGTTCCGCACTGTAATTGTTTTCATCCCCGCACTGTCAGTACAGTGTGACCTCATCTCCAAACTAATTCCCATATGGGTCACTTGGCTGTTCAGACTGTAGTTACATTCTATAAGATCCAGCCTGTACTGGATTTAAAACCACATACAAACGTGACTCAAGGCTATTTTGAAAAAGTCTGATTCTATGTGACTTGGCTTGTTCAGACAGTCGGGTAAGAATCTCATTCAAATCACTCAGACCAACAACAAAAAAATCAGATTTGGGCGATATTAGTGTGAACGTAGTCTTAGTCATTATCTACAAAGATTGTTTTGTCTGCTTAAATCTGGAAAATTAGTTCAAACTTGGCAATGTTTTTGTGTTTCCATCTTTGTTGTGTTAGAATGTGTGGGTTATCTCAAGATGTATGACTTCAGTTCGAAATCTGAGGGAACTTTGAAACGTGGAGCTCCTTCATGCTTGGAAATACCTTTTGTTTATTTTAAAATGCTTGCATCTGTTACAGCTGTTTGATCACATAGTGCATTGCATCAGTGACTTCCTGGACTACATGGGGATGAAGAACGCACGTCTTCCTCTGGGCTTCACCTTCTCCTTCCCATGCCGACAGACGAGCCTTGATGCTGTGAGTCGGCCCGGCTGTGCTTATAAAGCTGATCCATCTCGCGACCCAGAATGGACCCATCTGTGACGCTGTGCTTCTGTATGCAGGGCATCTTGGTGACTTGGACCAAGGGCTTCAAGGCGACAGACTGTGAGGGAGAAGATGTTGTCGGACTGCTGAGGGAAGCCATTAAGAGAAGAGAGGTAATCTTTAAAGACGAGCGTTATTCTTTTAAAAGCAGTGGGTTAGTGGCTGTATTTTACCTCATTGCCTGGGCTGCTTTCCTCAGGAGTTTGACCTAGATGTGGTGGCTGTCGTCAACGACACAGTGGGAACCATGATGACCTGTGCCTACGAAGAGCCCACCTGTGAGATTGGACTCATTGCTGGTTAGTTCCTGTTTATTTTTTCTTTTCACAGAATACAAATCTTTCCCTGCGCTGCGTCGGCTTTAAGCGTGCCTTTTGGCTGCAGGAACTGGCAGCAATGCCTGCTACATGGAGGAGATGAAGAACATTGAGACGGTCGAGGGCGATGAGGGACGCATGTGTGTCAACATGGAGTGGGGGGCTTTCGGGGACAACGGATGCCTGGACGACTTTAGGACAGAGTATGACAACATGGTGGACGAGCTCTCTCTGAATCCAGGGAAACAAAGGTACTTTTTAGAACATAAACATTTCCTACTCAGAAAAACACTTGTTCATGTATTCAGTTCAGGACCTTTTTTGTTCTTTCGTGTCACAGATATGAGAAGATGATCAGCGGCATGTACCTTGGAGAGATTGTGAGGAACATCCTCATAGACATGACCAAAAAGGGATTCCTATTCAGAGGCCAGATTTCTGAAACACTGAAGACCAGAGGCATCTTTGAAACAAAGTTCCTTTCACAGATAGAGAGGTAAACAAAGAGAACAAACTGTCTGAGGGCTCAAATTCTGATTTTATTTTATGGTTTAGTTTATTTAAATAAGTTGATCGTCATGTTTTCTGCCTGCAGTGACAGATTGGCCTTGCTGCAAGTGAGATCCATCTTGCAACACTTAGGACTGGACAGCACATGTGACGACAGTATTATCGTCAAAGAGGTATGGTGAACAGAAAGCACTGGACTCATCCTAAACTAAATAATTCAGCCATGAACTCGGCAGAGAACCTTCTTATCACCGTCTCCATTGTGAAAGGAAAAAGTGCGTGAGCACTTTGGTCACACACTGGGAAAAATGTTGCAAACATTTGGTTTCCAAGTTTGATCAATGATATCTTTGTTCTGTGTGGCAACTCACTTTGCTCCATTTTTTTTTTTAAATGATGCAACAATGATAAGAGTCTTTATTTGTAGGTATGTGGAACAGTGTCGCGGCGTGCCGCTCAGCTGTGCGGGGCAGGGATGGCAGCTGTTGTGGATAAGATAAGAGAGAACCGCGGCCTGGACCATTTGGACATCACTGTGGGGGTGGACGGGACGTTGTACAAATTACATCCACAGTGAGTTTGATCTGTTTATTTTATTAAGTAAAATTCCTCAAATGGTAACATACTAATTTTGGTTAATACGTTTTTAAGTGTGAAACTGAAGGAAGTTGACCACCTTAAAAAAGGTGGGCGTGTCTATCTCACAATAATGTTAATAAAAAGGTTTTGAGTGGAAACAAGGAGATTTTTTTATCCTGATGAAGTGCAATGGATTTCTTCAAAAGGAGACACTTTCCCGTTTGTGAACCTCTGAATATTTATAGCTCTAATTAGAGGGGAAAGAGTAATATAAATGATTTATGTAATTTAAAGGCAAGTTTGCCTGATTCATGCATGGATCTGAGCTTTTTGGTATCAAAATAGTACTGCAGATATATTGCAACCACAGTATCATTGTGTGCAGGATAAATATCACAGAGCTATAGTTAACTTAAATATTTCAGCTCTTATTAAAGGTCTTCAATCTTTGCTGCTCAGAGAGCAGAATTCAAGCAATTCTGATCAAGCAAAATACCTCTTTACCACAAATTTATTTAGCATAATATAGGCTACTTAAATTGCATTTTATATGTTAATTTAATGATAGATAGTTGGACACAGCGTCTACTACTCACAAGTACTTAACATTGTAGGAAGGGAAGATTAGATGGAAAAGAGAAATGTATTGATACTGCTATCATCTCTCAATATTTACCAATATTAGCATAAGATCAGAGATTTAGGTCATTTGAATAGAATTTCTCTGTTGTTACTCGTCCTGCTTAAGATCCTAATGTCTGGAACTTGGCATTATATTAACTTTCAATCATTGTATCTTATTTCTGCTTGCAAATCATTATGGACATGTTTATAGGTGCCCAATATTCCTGCTCTGCATATCATGTCAATGATGTTATTGGCCAGTTGGATGGACTAAGAAGGCAGAGGGAACAGATAACAAACACAAGTGTAAGAGAGATCTGAGTTTTTCCAGAATCAATAGGATGGTCACAAATTTCAGCAATAGCATCATAAATCCCCCTAATATTGTGCAAACAATAACATCAACCATACAATAAGCCTACAATAATCCATATTAGAATTTAGATCCAAACTGTTGGATTTAGGAACAGTTTGTGATCTTTGCATTAAACTTAAGCTTCATCCATTTATTTAAAGTTGTTTTTGATTGTAAGTGATCCTGACGATTCACCCTCAGAGCCTGCAGGGACAACTGGCAGCAGGGCAAAACAGCATTAGCGGTGATAATTTGCTTCCTTAATGCACACTCAGCCCTTTCCAGCTTAGTGGTGCGAAGGAGTAACATTAACAGGTTGATTTAAGCCTTTACTGTCTTCTGAAGTTCTTTTAAATAAACTCTGTACATTTTGTTCCATCTTAAAAACAGACGGACTGCTCTGCTACAAAAACATTTTGTACCTGAGGTGATAAATACTGTAAGAATGTAAAATGCCTGTGCTTTAGAATGAGATGATCAAGTCGAGTCATGTTTAACGACCATGGCTGAATTTGAAACTTGTGTCATAGAGTTTATTCAAGCAAAGTGTATATGTATAATTCTTTTTATCTGGATATGAAACTGTTGCTCAGTTGTTTTTTTTAACATGTTTTTGTTAGTTTCATTACTTGTCTGTTTCATTGTAACACAAGTTGTAGTTTATTTCCTCCTGTTGACCCAAGATCGTATCATATCTCCTGTTTCTGCTTAGTTTCTCGCGGGACATGCATCAGACTGTCAAGGAACTGGCCCCTAAATGCACCGTCAACTTCCTGCTATCTGAGGACGGCAGTGGCAAAGGAGCGGCTCTCATCACAGCCGTGGGCTGTCGGCTTAGGGAAGAGCTCAACAGTAAATAAAAAAGAAATGATCTGCAGTTTGTCGTTTTCACCCCATTCCTCCCATCCTCCTCCCCTTTCTGACACGCCTTGTTTTCCTCCAAACGGACTACAGTCAACACCTTACATCCTGGCTGCTGTTCCAACCCTGTGTCTACCTGAGACAAATAAAGGGGCACTCCCTTTCTCTGCAGACTTCAGTAGCAGAGGTTATCTATAGCAGTTAACTATATCCAACAGCAACCAGTTGCTTCAAAACACACTTTTGTGATTATAAACTTTAACACTTATAAAGATAAAACATCTGATTTAAAACATAATTAAATATAATATGAATATGTTTTATTTTTATTATGTTTTATTTTATGCTACCTATTCCTGGTTGCTCCAATGTCTCCACCTGGAGGCTTTATCTGGTTACTGCAGTTGTCAGGTTTCCTACAAGTCGTAAATAAGACATTCATTTCATGATTCAACAAAAAACAACACAATTTTAGACCAATTTGTGTCTGTTTGCTGCTGTTCTAGTCTTAATATTTTTACAGGGTGACTTAAATCGATCGGATGGAGAAGAAAGGGAATATTTGTGCTTAAGGTTTTTAAAAGTCTCACCCTGATGTGATGCAATATATTTCGCATTGTTATTTATTTTATTTTTATGATTAAAAATATTCCTGTTGCAAATATCATACGCACACAGTGGGCCACTGGCTGATATTCCCTGACTTTATTTTCCCCTTGCACTGTGCACCAACCCTACTTTCATGTGTCTGCTGAGTGTGTGTTTCCGCTCTCTGACTGCAATGTGTACAGCTCTCTGTAAGCCACTGCAAACTGCTTCATACTGTTGGTACTAATTGCAGCTGCTGGAAAACTAGCTGTTGGGTTTTTTTGGTAGTCATGGCCGTCCTTATCAGCATGAACGTGGTGCTAACATGATGAACAAAGATGGCAACCTGAGTATAAATGTAAGAATGTAACGGAGGCAAATGTTCGGGAAAGATTTATTGCATTTTGGCAGAAGATGTGTATATTTAAAAAAAAAAAAAAAAACTCCACTTCATCAAGAAGGGTTTTTTTTCATACGGAAATCTCAGGAGAGTTTTAGGGATTTTTTGGATTTCGTTTTTTTCTTCTTCATTAAAACCAAAAAGAGATGCTAAAATGTACATTTACTATTTTTGATGCAGTTTCCTGTGTTAACACTGGTCTTTTTTTTTTTTTAATAAATATCTGACGCTTTTAGTTCTGTTTTCAGTTCTCATGTCGCAGTCTATGCAGCATAGATTACTGTCTGGTTAAAACACCATTTCATTCCCGGTCAGCTTTCCTGTGCTGTTTATCGGACTGCCAGCTTCTACTAAACGTCCAGATGGTTTTCTTACTTCGGTCCACTAAACAGACTGTACTGTTAAACATTTTCTGTCACTCAATAAATCAAACCTGTGTTGTTCTGATGCAGCGATTTTCATTGCACATTGTTTTCTAATGCATTGTTATGAATATTTCTGTTTTATTTTCAATTAATCAAATTTTTTCCACAAGCATTTTTATTATCACTTTACATTTTCACATTTCATTGTGATGTTTGGTCAAATATGGAAGTTTAAGGCAAAAAGCCCTTCTTACTGCAGAGTACTTGATGATTAAGTGGAAGAAAAAGGAAACATTAAAATTTTTTTATTTTTTTTTTTACTAAATAGTGGCATGCATATTTATAAGGCATTCTTTAATTATTGAACATTGGTGCCTTTAGATGGATTTGTTTAATAGAGACTTTATTATTGTAGAAAGCTTCCCCCAGGGTTCAATTTGAAAACAAACCAGTATATATTTCTAAGACTCTTGTACCAATCAGATTGGAAAGGTAATGGGACAATTCAAGCCTACCAAGACATGGACGTCCATCGCAGCTGATGGGAGAAACGTTAAGGAAAGCATTTATCAGAATCCTTAATCACAGCACCCTTCATTAGGGGCACCCGGTTCAAACTTAGCAAAATATTGTCCTGCTCTAGTCTCAATCCCCATAATGCAGCAACTCCACTGCCCCCCTGTCTTTTCTGTTATTTATATGATCTTACGCTAAGGCTGCAAACCACCTTCCCTATCTGTGATGCTGATTGAGTTTTGATATCTTACACAGTATTAAAACTTAAGCATAGTCATGCTGAACTCAGAAAACCCAAATAAATGAGCTGTTTTTATTATTATGACTATGATTATACTCACACTAGCTGATTTTTGTTGAAATGTTTTTATTCTCAACCTACAGTCTAGGGTCAGTAGTTCATGTTGGTGTCTAAAGCTGAAAGTTTAGGAGCCTCTGATCTATTGGCCTTTATTGGCTCATTAACCTGCTAATGACTAGACGTCAAACTCTGTAGACTCTAAACCTTTTTATTCTCGGTTTAAGATTTTTTCCCCCCAACAAGCCAATTAACTGGACTGACTTTTCTGTCACTGTTGGTTCCTGACTCTTCACCATCTTTATTTCTATTCACGTTTGCACCCCCTAAATGAGCATGTATTGAATGTCTAAGTATTATTATCAGTAGCCTCCTTCCTACAATTCTTGTATTGAACTAATGTAATTGTTGTTTGTGAGTTGCTCAGTGGAGCAGTGGGCAGCATTGCTGCCTTGCAGCAAGAAGGATCCGGGGTCGATTCCCGGCCCGGGGTTTTTCTGCATGGAGCTTGCAACTTCCTGAGCATGGGCTCTCTCCGGGTACTCTGGCTTCCTCCCACAGTCCAAAAACATGACTGTAAGGGTTTATTGGCTTCTCTAATTTCTCCTTAGGCGTGAGTGTGTGCGTGAATGGTTGTTTGTCTCTGTGTTGCCCTGAGATGGACTAGCAACCTGTCCAGGGTGTACCCCTCTTGACAGCTGGAGATGGGCACCAGCACCCCTCGTGACCCCAGCTGTGATAACACGTGAGGGATGGATGTTGTTTGTGCGTCACAAAAAAACATACGTTGGGTTTAAATAATTTTTATTGGATATTCAGAAACATCAAAACTTAATCACAATTCAAATAATATTTACACTATTTTCTTTACTAAATTAGACATTATTAAGCCCCATTCTTTTTTACAAACTGGCTATTGAGAAAAATCTATTTTTATATAATTAGGAAAGTCCAACAGAACCTGTTCTTAGGGGATCTCTATTTCAATAGTGATTGCACCATAAATGCACACTGTTATATCTGCTAGATAAACAAGTATCTGACTGCTTAATTCTAATTATAGATTTATGTGGGATGTTCTAAGTCTTTGGCTCATCTGAAGATGCCTCTACTTTAGTAATAATTGTGTTTGCTTTTTAAAGGGGTTTCCTGCTTTACTCTGCTAGGACTATAACAGCAGAGTTCTTCAGCTATTTATAGATACCTGAGAAAAAGTAATATCCCCCTTTAAAAATATCTCCTGTTCTTGATGTTTTATTCACTTAATGTTTCAGATCATATGATAAATTTTAACATCAACAAAGTTAGAGTAAATGTAAATATAAATTGTAGTTTTTTAAATGATGATTGCATTAGTTAATCGATAGGCTAACTGAAACAACACAAAGCTATTTACAGGTGTACTACCCCCTTGGTTAAATCAGGAATTTAATTTGTCTAATTACAGTTCTTGAAGGTTAGTTTCAATTTAAATAGAACCTGCATGACAACATGAAGTAGGCCAATTAGGTCTAAAAATATGGCACATCACATCTCCACCTTTAGACATTTAAGAACAGGTGTGAATCTAAAACCAATGATGGTTTGCAAACTTTTATGTCATTTCTAATAACTTTATCATAGAGGACATTAAAAAAAAAAAAAAAAAAACTAAAGCATCTAAGGCCCTACAGCATTGTTTTCAACCCTGGTCCTCAACACACACTGCCTTTCATGTTTTACATGTTTGCCAGTTTTCATACATCTGACATCCATAGCAGATTATCAGGCTTTGCTGAGTTGCAATCATCTGAATCAGGTGTGTTTTAGCAGAGAAGCATCTAAAACATGAAGGGCAGTGTGCCTTGAGGAGCAGCTTATAAAAACACAGCAGGCCCCACAAACATCAATTAAGGTCTGTGTTCAGGACTTAAGAGAAAATTGAAAAATGGGTAGGGGGAAAAAAAAGAAAACCAATCTCATGGTGAGCAAGAACCTCTTGATGAAGCCAAGACTGATGAGTATGTTCTGTAAACTGAAGAGAAAAATATAAAATGGCATTTAAAAGTGGTCATGGTACAAACCTTCCTCTAAATACCATTAAGGTTTTGGAATGGTATAGTCAAAGTTATTTATGGCTGCAGTGGGTGATACAATGGGTTAGGTTTAGGGAGAGATGTTGAAAAATGCCAAAATTGCAGTACCTGATAGATTTATCATTATTAATGTTTTTGCAATGATTCTGATGATGTAAATCTTGAATAGAAGGTTTAATTTGAGCACTACAGAGTTCAGAAAAAAACTATTTACCATTTTAAAAGCAACACAGAAATGTAAAAGTTTACAATGAGCGGAAGAATGAAGGGGATGTTGGCCATAAGAGAACAATGTCGCTTCATATTTAGACATTTTACACAGCAAAAAAACTTTAGAATCTCACATTTAGTCTCTGCTAGTCTATTATTTACAGTATTCAACAAATGTAAACCCTCAACAGAACCTTGTTGTTCAAAGGCTAGCACCTCAAAGAAAGGCTGTCGGTTTAAGTCCCTTTACTTCTTTTGCTTGGTTCTTCATGCTATTCCAATCGTCCATAAAATGTACATCAAATAAAAGTTTTTAAATAGAATTTACATGTGATATTGAGTCAGATGATCTGTTACAGTGAACAACGATTCTCTCCTTCTTACATGCAGTACATTACAAAAATATTCATGTCCCTTGAACCTTTTCCTGCTTTGTCACTTTCATATATTTCAGTTTTTGTTTTCATTTACTGTTACAAACACCAAGTAGTGCATAACCGTGAACAGAAAAGATGCTGCATGGTTTAAAAATGATTCACAAATAAAAATCTAAAGCGTGGAATCTGTATTTCCCTCCTGCACCCTTACACACCGGAATAAAAACCATTGCAACCAAATCCCCTCTAAAATCACCTTTAGAAGAGTTATAATCTGTGTGTAATTTTCAGGGCTGATGCAGCAGGTCTGTGAAGTCATTTAGAAACGTATTTGAGTTTAGAGGACTAAGTGATTTAGAAAGGCCAAGCACCACACAGCTAATGAGCTACAGGTTAAGGCAAAATGAAGTTATTTATGACAAAATAAAGCCTGGTTTGCAACAAAGATTATTCTCCATAGTATTACCTCAGGTCACCAACAGACACGTGTGCCAACCATTTATCATTTTCACTGGGTTGGAGCTTCTCCATTCTTGTTTACAGGGGTTTCTGTACTCTGTTTTATCCATTTCCTTGCAGCCACACACTTAACCTAAACTAATAGGTAATCAACAGACATTTGGTGGCGTGCTGAGGAGGTAATCTAATCATTTGAATCGGATGTCACAATGATGCACTAACTTGTGTTAATCAATTACAGAAAATTTAATTAAATTGCTATAAAAATTATGGTATTCATGTAAAACAAATGTGAAACAAGGGGTATGATTACTTTTGCAAGCATCTTTAGAAGTAAGCACAGAGCGCACCAAAACCATGAAAAGGATCAGGAGTACTTTCGTTATTTTTCAGTCACATTCATTCCTTGATATTGTAAACAATAATTTTCGAGCTCACAGAGCAGATCTTCAAAGTCCTCCTGTGTCCTCCTGTTTCCTAACCATGTGATAGTTTTGTGAGCTGCACAGGTTTTTTTTCCGCTGCAAACAAGCAACTTTCTCTGAGTTTGCGTTGTTTGTTTTTCTGGATCCATGCGTGTAAGAGTCCACGCTGCGGCTGCTGCGCGTCACCGTGACTCTGAAGGTGTGGGTGTACTGCAGCTCCATCTTATCCTCCTCTGACACTTTGATGAAGGGACACCAGGCAAACGCATGACGGAATCCGGCTCGAAACCTGTAGAAGGACATGGAAACATTCTGAAGAGCTCATGATTTCACAGATATTGTTCTACTGGTCAAACATGGATACATGAATATTTTACCTTTGGTTCAGACAGCAGTATATAATTGGATTGTACATTGTTGAACTCATAGCCAACCAGAAAATAGCCAGATACACCTAACAAAGAGATAAAGGGTGTTGAGTGATAATTCTGTCATATTTATGCACAACAAGCAGATAATCTGGGTCTAACCTGCTGGATGTAATGCTGTTTATAAATATCTCTGTTAAAGGAGCCCAAAATAAAGTAAATATGGTAGGGAAGCCAGCAGAGAGCAAAGGTCACCACCACAACCACCATCATCTTCACCACCTAGAAAGTTACAGACGAAATAAAATGAAGATTTAAAGAAAACCAAAAATCTTCACTAAAAAGGGCTTAAGAAAGCAGGCAGACCTTCCTCTTGGCTGTAATCTGGCTGTGGTAATGCTCTGTTGCCTCCCCAGGGATGTGTCCACCCCAGAGCGACCGACCAACTAAACTGTAGGTCACCAACATCACCAGCAGAGGGAGCAAGTAGATCAGCAATATCACTGCAAACTGGTAGCTGAACACAATTATACAGAAGAAAGTAGAGAGGCAAAATTGACAAATGATGCGAAAAAGGGAAATAGAGCTGCTGAAAGCTTAAAAAATCAATCTAAAACAGAATATCTAGAAATCAAAGTCTGATTCTGTCTCAATGTTAGTCTATTTTATTCAATCCTCTTCTTTCACCTTAGCTGATGGGTTCCTCCATAATCATCCGGCCAGTCGACCATACACACGGTCCTGGGGTAGTAAAATTTAGTTACACTGTAGTAACACTGAGGGAAAGCCAGCGAGAAGGCCACCATCCAAATCAAAGCAATTACGACCTTTGTGGAGCTGGAGGAGAGGCGAGGCTTCAGTGGGTGGATGATCGCCATGTACCTGGAAGAAAGCCAGAGAAAAAGTTTATCTAACAAGGAGGGTTGGAATCAATTTAAGACATTCCCTCAAGTTAAATGAGAAACTAAAGCTTTCAGTTAAAGAGGTTTATTGTTCACAAATTGGTAAAAAAAAAAAAAAAAAAGAAAATACTATATATTTTTAAAGCAGATTTCTTTTTTTTTTTTTTTTTAGAAGTATTAAGCAAATGTTCAGCTATGTTTAACAACATTGCCTTACAGAAGTATTCAGAAACCTTTTTACATTTAAAATTTATCAACTTAAGCTACTTTAATGTGTCTTTGATGTGATAGGCCAACTGGTTGGATGTAAAAGGGAGAGGAAAATAATGGAATACAAGTAAGGTTTGTTGAGAAGATTAGTGAAAAAACAAAAAAAAAGAACCAATAAAACCAAAAAACAGATGGAGATGTTTAGAGCTATCTACTTCTAATTAGAAGATGAAAATAATGAGGCACAGTAAAACTGCAGGACCAGGCAACACAATGGTAAATTTAGAGGTGTTGTGTTAAATCCATACTACTGCAATTTAATCTCAATTCCGATTATATACTTTATTACAGAAAACAAAAAGTGAAACATAAAGCAGTGGTTGTAGTATGAAACATAAAAAGATGTTTAAATATATGGAGGCTTTTTCTAGAAATAATATTCTAGTTTTAACTGGAAATCACACTATAAGTTCATCTAGCATAAGTAAAGAGATAAAAATACCCTCTGAGGAAAACAAGCATTTCAATTTGAAAGGAAAACCTGCATCTTTTTTATTTGTGTGAATCTGCCTGGTTTACATCGGTATTAATCCATGGAAATGAAAAGCAGTATGTGCAGGGGGCAGAAAGTAAACAGATAAAACTGTGTGCCTCTGATTGCCTGCCTCTGGTTATGTCCCTGACCAGCTGCTAGAGCAACAATAACACAACATAATCCAATCTACAGAAAAATTAGTCGCATCAATTATTTTCCCCAGCAAATATAATTTGCTAGTCTCTGATGATGTTAAGATGATGATATGATGGTGGTACGCGTCGACAATCGCAGAAAATTTCAACTCGGAGATTCTGAAATTCTTTGTGCTCACTAAGGATATATATATATATATATATATTGGATTCTTTTGTATATTTATGTGTAGAGAGAAGAATAATAGAACATGTTCTGTAAAACTCTATTACTCAGTGTGTCAACTTTATGGTCTAATCATTAGGCTGAGGCTGTGAGTCACACAGCTGAACCATTCAGGGCAGACAGCCTAAGTGTTTCATGACTAATGAAGTGAAATCTTGCATGAATTAGTTTGAATAAAAACCAAAATGTTTTTAGCATCCTTTAAGACTTGATGTTGCTGTGATTAGAATAATCACAGATTAATGTTTTTGCGTGATTTCCATCATCTTTGTCGTCTTCCTTTTGCCTCAGATCTTTGCTTGTACCCATTGATTGGTTGTTTTGTCACTGAGATGAATTAATTCATGTTTCTGCTGATTAAAATGTTAATGTGTATTCTGTGCAGTGTTGAATTTGGTTTTCTTTTTTTAATCCTTTGCTGATTTTGCACATTCTGTTCAGATGCATGGCAAGTTTTAATAGGAGGTGTAAAAGATTCAAACTATTCAAATGCATCAATGTGTTTCTCATCTTTGGAGAAACTGTATTGTCAAGACATGAATAAGTACAAAGCATTACAGAATTATTCATGTTATGGGACATCTCAAAGAGTGAAATATTCTGCAGGATAGATTCTTTTTCAAATTTAGCTGCGTTTAGTTGTACAGTTAAAAAAAAAGGAAAGAGAAAGGGGGGGTGACATATAGTATAGGTCTCCAGGCAGATATTAGAACCCAGGAGAGCTGCTTTAAAGGTAGAGTCCTCCAAACATGATCAATGGTCTCTAACCCCTGCACTGTCGCAACATCCTTCTGTAAGATTCTTTTGAATAAACGAAACGTGTTTCAAAAAATAAGATCCTTAACATCTATGGTAGGAAAGATCAGCAGTGCATAAGTCTTGTTTGAGAAAAAAGCCTGATCAGTCAGACCGACCTACGGCGCATTTTAGTCATTCTAAATAGGCAGGCCATTGCAAAAAGTTTTAAGTTCTCTTTATATCTTTAGATATAAAAAAAAGTTTAGTATGTATTCATCAAGATCAACAGAGAATAAAATCATGAAAATAAGCCTTAGGTATATTTAGTAATATAAACTAATCTGAAAGCAGAGAGTAACTTGAATATTTTATATCAACAAGGGATAGGAGCTAAGGGGGAACTAAACTCAACACGGATTTTTAAATAAAATGATACCAGTGACAGTCAGCAGGTGAATCAGGAAACTAATTTAACAAAGGAATAGGGAAAACAGTGTCACCATCTCAGAGGAGAATGGACAAGACAGCAGCAGCTTGAATCAACTTGTCACCATTAAGGTATGCAGGATACCATGTCAGAACCAGCATCTTAAAGCTGCAGAAGACACACTTGGGGGCATTTTTTTTAAGCTCAGAAGTGAAGACCCAGGATGCAATTTGCAAGGGCTCACCATAGTTAGAATACGAGATCAGAAAACTGTTGACTGATCCATCAGTTATAGCTGCAAAATTGAGATGGCAGGGTCAGGATGATGAAAACAGGACATGAAAGCATGGACCCATCCAGCCTTGTGTCAGTGATTCGGTTTATCAGCGGTGGTGTACCAGGGAGAAACAAAACAGTTGGTGAACATGCCCCTCTATCAATTTACAGCCAAAGTAACCATTGTCTACCACCACCATAAAGCTCAAATAATGAGATTGCAGACCAGTTAGATCAGGTTTACTGAACCAAAAACACAGCAATGCCGTTTTATTAAATCAAGCTTGACTACGATCGGTCCATATTTGACCCAAGTGCTGCTGTTACAGTGAAAAAAAGACAAGAGAGGATGTTTCCCTTTCAGCAGCTTTAGGAGTCTAGGATGAATGTATGTCTGAATTCAGTATAATGGCTGTCTGAATGTAACATCAATTTCTTCAAAAAAACATTTGTGTGGGGGGGGGTTAGTGTGTGAACTTTCCTTTTACACTCTCAGTCGGTTGTGTCTGTTTACACTGCACTGAACAAGGTTGTGGTGGAGCTTTTCTTCTACTGTTGCTGCATGCATGCATGCAGGCTGAGTGATTATTGCAGAGTTAACAAGTCAAAGCCACCAACTGTTGGTTACCTCGAGATGGTGACTCAGCAGCTGTTTTCTTGAATCAAAAACTGCATTACTTGATAATCCGTATTTACTTGACTTTGAATATTTGATTGAAAATACTTTTATCGTTGTTTTTTATTAACAACACTTACATGAATGAATGAATGAATTCATTCATTCATTAATTAATGAATTAATTAATGTGTTGTTTATGGACAACAGATGAAAAATAGCCCTTTGGCTAATTCTGGGGCATTTACATATTTTTAATTAATGTAAATTGTCCCTAACAACTAATTATATCCTTACTGCTATCTTAACACACTAAACTGAAATAAATCTAAGTGCATCAAAAGCAGTGTGATGCAGCTGTCTGTTATAAATAATGGCCTATTGAAAACAGTGTGTAAGAAGCCATTACAAAAGATCAAGTTTGCTGTCAGCTCCACAGCTAGCAACATCAATCAATGCAGTGGATGTCAAATTGTAATTTGGAAAACATAGAAAATAAACAAAGCAGAGCCTCGCCATTAGCAGACTGACCAATCACGCTTCACTAAGCATTAACAACATCTGTGTCTCAGCTGTGTGTTGGCCCACATCTCCCTCATGCTGCAGCTCAGTTTGTATAGTTCCTGCTAAACATATTTTAAAAGGTTATTTCTATTTAGACCATAACTAGATGAATTTCACAAAGAGATGCTAGGTTATCTTAAAAGATGTGCAAACTGAATCCTCTCAAAAAGCTCTTTCCTATAAATCTGGATAGTTTCACCGGACATCAGTGCCCACATTTAAAGACTGAATCTTTGACTTTATGTGAAAAGAAGAGAAGCAGTGCTATGATAAGTGTTTTAATAGAGGTTCTTTACTTATCCAGATTTACTTTAAAAAACCTAAATGAGTGAATAGTTTAGAGTAAGAATATATTACCTGTCCACTGATATGGCAGCCATCGAATATATTGATGAAAACATAGCTGTGATCGGAAAGAAGTTCTGAAATCTACAATAACCCAGGCCGAAGTACCAGTCGTTGTGCAGAGCATAGACAAAGTTGAAAAGGGTGTTAAAGGTTGCCATGGATGCATCCGAAAAGGCTAGGTTGACGATGAAGTAGTTGGTTACGGTCCTCATGCGTCTATGAGCAAGGATGATCCAGATGACTGTGACGTTCCCTGTGATAGACACCAATATTATGAGAGAGTAGGCCATGGCCCACAGAGCCACCTGAGAGGAAGAGTAGGAGGAAGACAAACAGGGGAGGGGAGGAGAGAACTGTCACTAGCATTATCAAAGAGGGAGAAGAAGAGTTTAAGCATTGGTCGTGTTTTGGTAGAGTCCTAATATATCTTCATAAAGTTATTTCATTTTGGTAGTTTACTTGAAAAAGGTAAGCTTGAGTATGTATTTAAGTCAAAGGAACATACAATTATTATTTCTGTTTCATTTCTTGTTTGTCTTCGAGCTGATAAAAATGACAGCATTGGAATATGCTGTGTCCAACACAACAATAGATAGACTGTTGTTTTGACAGCTTTCCAGACCATACAATGTGACACTACAACGGCAAAAACTTGTGCAATTACTATTTGATACCCTGTGCAATAACCTGTTTCTCTACATTATACACATTTTTCTTCCTTTGGCAGATGATTCTTCTTTCATTTTTTAGCTGATGTAACAAGTATATTTCTCCAGTGTGAACTCAATAAAGTAAATCAATAAATCAATCTTACAAAGGGAGGGTAAGCCCCAAAAGTTAATCGTTAAGGAAACTGGCTGGTCAAAGATTGCTAGATAAATGAAGATTAATGAAAAATCAGTGGAAGGAAAAAGTGTAAAGAATAAAGATACAAAGCATCAATAATAATTGAGAAGCAAAGCTCTTTCAAGGGATTCACACAGATTAGTCAGGTAGACTCAGTACTTCTGACACCACCATCAGTACTATACCTAACAATGCATATGAATATATAATTTTCTGTCAACCAACATTTCTTTTTCAATTTTTTTTTTCATTGTTCCCATATATGTGAGAAACTGTTCTTTGAGTTTTCATTCTCTGTAAGCCATAATCAACATAACAATGTGCCAAAAATCTATATATAATCTGAACTTCTTGAACTGAAGCCCTCTTTTCCTTCCCCACCTGCCAGACTGGCTGCTGGAACTGATTCCCGGTGGTCTCGTTTTCATAGTCCAGCCAGTCAGAGCTCACAGACATTGGCATTAAAGTGGCCTCTGGCTCTCGTTGAAAATGTTTAATAAGACTCTCAGCGTCCATGACTCCCCTTGTTACCTGGTGGCAAAAAAAAAAAAAAAAAGGAAGGATGACCGTGCTGTGCGTAATAAGAAATAATGAGGGGCGTGCAGACTATTGAGGAGGCTTCATTAGTCAATGAATGGCTTCAGAAATTATTTACAATTCACGTTGTAATCTACCTGTTGCAAAATATGTTAAAAGGATATAAAACTTAAAAGGTTAGTCGGGCATCACATATTTTGTCATTATATTTTAATAAAAATGATCCAAATTGTGATAATAATGATAATACAAATGGAAAAATACAGTTTCTTTGCAACAATGAGCCTCCAGAGTTAATAAAAAAAACCATCGTGGCGTAGTCAGATATAAAGATATTTCTTTTTAAATTATTTTTCAAATATCGTTCCTCACCCTTCTTGTAAAATATCAAATCCATTTATATTATCCAATTAATGAACAAAGTATCGCCTGCAAGAATAAGCTAACTATCTCAATTTAGTTTTTATTGTCTTACCTCTGTAGTCCGATTATCCCGTGAGCTCTAACTCCAGATGTTTCGGTCCATCGCGGTCAAACATGAAATCCCAGGTGCTTTATGGACGCTTGGGTCTGACCAAAAACCCATTCATACAATCTTATCCGCCTTCACAGAAACACACGGTTCCTCAGTCTCCCACTTTCTCTCTGCTGGAATGTGTTACGCGCAGTTTTTACGCGCTGCTCCACAGCGAGACGCGCGGACATTGCGACGCAGGAAGACGCGCACCTAGCCTTAGGGACAGGGAGGAAGTGTTATCGGTCGGTTTCTAAAGCCTGGATGTGGGTTTAAAATAGCTTTTCAAATGTTTACATAGGTGATATGAGCGCTGTCAGTAGAAAAGGCTTGAGCAAATTTAACCCGTGTTCCAATTCTGATTTTCTCAATCAACAGCTTGGAGGTGGAAAATTGCAATGATGAATGATTTTTCTCATCAAAACAGGTTTCCTGAACATGAAAACTTGGCTATGAACGAGAATACCCTTATAAAAGAAAAAAATATATACATAAAATGAGCCCATTCTAAATTGAAAAGTATTTTTATTATTATTTTTATTATTATTATTCCAAGTAGGGTTGAAAGCAAACTACCTTATGTCTTTGGATGTGGCGCATCACCAAGGGTAACATCATGAGGCCACAAGACTGAAACAAATAAGTAAATTCTATCTGCTATATGCCCAATTAAGTCTTTAAATGTCCAATAAACATGAAATGGGACCCCACCATCTTTCAATGGTGTTAGGTTTCTGTTTCTGTTATGTTTTTCTTTTGATATTCAGTTTTGCTTTGCTCTTTGTTTTATAGGTTTTTATGGTTTAATTCTTATCTTGTTGTGTCCCTTGGGTTTTTCTCAGTTACTGTCTCAGTCTTGGTTCTGTTATATTTTCTTTTTAGTGTTCATTTTTGCTTTACTCCTTGTTTTCTATAGTGTTAGTGGTTTTACTTTTTATTTTCTGTGTTCTCTGGTTTATACTGTTTCAGTCTTGGCTCTGTTATGTTTTTCTTTTGAGTGTTCTGTTTTGCTTTACTCCATGTTTTATAGTCTTAGTGGTTTGATTCTTATTTTGTTTTTTCTGTTCTCAGATTTTTATTTGTTGCCCTCTGCTGCCCTCTTGATTTCTCCTTTTTTCTCTATCTCCTTTCTTGTTTCTGCTCTGCTCACACCTGCTTCTAATCTGCTCATTAGCCCTCTCTTTGTTTCAGTGTCCTACAAAGACTCTTTCTGTTCTGTTCTTATTTGCTGGGTCCTCGTCTAACCTTATCAGTCTTCCTCCTACTAGAGTCTCTCTGAGCCTTCCTCCTGGTTACAGTTCTTCCCCTGTTGTCTCCAAGGTTTTTTGGTAACGTTTGACTTGAATTTTCTTGTTTCTTTTTTTTTTTTTAACTTTGCTTTTGGATTTTCGGTTGTCTGTTTGTTTGGACTTTGTTTTTTCAGTTGTTCGTCATTAAATCTACCTTCTATTCACCTCTGCCTTCCTGCCTCTGCTTTGGGTCAACAATCCTAAACCAAATCCTGACAAATGGTCTCATTTCTTGGCTGATTACACCAGATTTTTAGGTCTCCTTCAAATTTGGCCAACAACTGCATCTTTTATTTTTCCAGACATAAATAACTGCCATTGTTTCCTTCCTGTGGCTTCCTATCCCATGATTCACTGTGGGTCAAAGCAGATTGGTTAAGCAGGGCACTGGCTATAACTGCTATTGAAAATGAACATATTAAAGGTATGGTGGACTTTTCTTTTCTCAGAAATGTAGGAAATAAATGCCAAAGTCAAGACAATCAAAAACAAGATTCAAAACAAAATGCTAAAAAGTTTTAAGATGTTTTTTTTTTTAAAGAAATATTTTAGCTTTATAAAATGTTAATATCTGCGGTGTCTATTAAAGAAAAGCAGGCTTTTTCATATGTGTCTTGGTGCTGGGCTTCAATCAAAAACTGCTGGAAAATCCATGGCGTGATATTGGCTTGTTTTTTTGTTTTTTTTCTTTGGTGGCGGTTCATTGTGCACACCAAAGAAAAACCTGTAAGAGTGTGCTCTCTACAAGGCACAATTTAATCCTTCTCCTGTATTGACATCATTCTTGGAAGGGTGCTAACAGTAGCCCACCTTGCTATCACTACTCCCAAATCTAATCAACCTGTAGGAATGATTCCAACAACCAGGGACTCACCTACAGGCAGTGGGTATGTGTTGAAGTTTGTGTAGAAGAACAGGAAATGATGTTAATGGACTAGGGCCTATAGGCAAACTGCTAATGCTGCTAATGCCACATCCAAATGAACATGCACACAATTTCAATTCTTGCACGAACCCTCACTAGAAAAGAAAAAGCTATCAGAAGGGGTCTGAATAAGCTCTATTTAGTTTTTTTTTCTTCCTAAAAATGATTACCATGAATTTAAAATCAATTTCAGACTATAAGATATCAATTAATTTAAATTGGCTCCAGCTCTCCTGGAAAAAGGCAGCTGACATTCAGCACACCTGAGTGGCAACTGAAAACAGACATACTTCAGTCAGATTAACAGGGAATTGTTTGATTTACCGTAACATTAGTGTTGTGCTGGACAGCTGGTATATAAGGAGATTAGTAATTTGCTCCTCTTTAACACCTGCCTGCTTCTACAGTGCAGCTGTTTGACTCACTGATTTGATAAAAAAGTAGAAAACCAAAAGATTGAGATCCAGAGAATATTATCAAATTTGGATTTATATCATAAATAAAAAAACAAAACCTTTTTTTTTCTTTGGAACTTATTTATACAAATAATTCTGAAGGTATATCGTGAGATATTTGACATGTCTGGTTAATTAAGAAAATAAAGAACCCTCATGTTCATCTTAAGGACTAATTGTTTGCTTTAATTATAGGTTTCTGTTCTAGCTGCCTATTCTACATGGCCCTCATTTTTTTTTTTGTTTAGTTTTCTTATTTAATTACATTGAGATTATTCATTAAAAAATAATGACAACAAATCTTTATGCTTTTTCTAACACTAAAATGAAGTGTATAAAAAAAGAAAAAGCTTTGCTCTCTTTTTGTGATTCAATCTATCACGTGGTTGCTAGGTGACAGGAGTCACACAGAGATTAGGTAAGGAACAGCTAGAAGGACAGACCATGTAAATTTAAGTTACTCACCCAAGAACTTCACATATTTTAGTGGTTTTCAAAGAATCTTTTCTACTGCTGAAATTTTCCAATTTAAAGTTTCCGATTTGCCACTTATTAAGATATTTTGTTTAAAATGTTTACTTGGTAAATAGGACTACATTTGTCAATCTGTAATTAGAAAAATCTAATACGTTGGAATAATCATTCATTTATTAAAATATTAAGCTGACATTGTACTGCATATGAGTGTTTGATTTTGGGTCAAACTTATTTTATGTTTGGATTACTAGAGGGGTGTCACTTAGGGAGCCCAAGGTGCAGGTAAAAGTGAGTAGAATAATCCATTGACAGAACAGCCATACTGCAAAAACGATCTAAAAATGAGTAAAAATGTTTTAGATCAAGGGTATTTAGCAGGTAAATAAGATGATTTGCCAATGGAATGAGTATTATTATTTTAAAATAAGATAATTAGATATTATGCACTTGAAATAAGACAATATAATTGTTTTTTTCTTATTTTAAATGTAAATTGTCTTGGTCCATAGGCAAAGTGTCTCCCTTACCTCCTTAATTCAAGAAAAAATGCACTTATTTTAAGAGAAAAAAATGACTGAAGAATTTTTTGGAGTGCATTGTTTTTCTTTGAGCGAACCCAGAGAGAATCCATACATTCACAGCGAGAACATGTCAAACGGCATGCATCTTGCTGCAATGCAACAGAGCTTCCAACTGTGCGATCAGACGGCCATTTCCTTTGTTAGTTCTTCTTACAAGCATGGTCCCTGAGATGTTCAATTGCATTTGGAGCATCTAAAATTCATAAACAAGAAGTGTATTTAAATTTATTATCTGAGCACATTTCTTTTATTAAAACTGAGTTGCAAAAGAATTATATTTAGAGAGAAAAAAGTCTCTAGCCCTTTAAAGCCCAATCCAAGAATAAAACAAAACAGAAAATTACTTTTTTGGGGGTTTGAATTCCTTATTTGCCATTTTAACAAAATATGTAAAAAGAAAAAACAGAAATACATTTTTGATATTAATAATTTATTATAAGTCAAGATTATTTTTTGTGTAGTCTTCTACTGGCTGTTATCAGGTATATCTGATTGTGTACAATAGGATTTTGAGCAAAGTTTTTACCATTAAATTATGCAAAAGGTTTCAGATGCAAAATATTTCAGAAACCGTATGTATCAAATATGATACATTTGGCATTATAGGGTTAAAAATATCACTGTATTGCACAGCTCGTTTCTGCATGTTTCTATATTGCAGCCGTGTAATGTCAGAAAGAGTTTAATGATAGAAAACCATTCATAAGACAAATGAACAAGGAAAACAGAACATCTACCCAGGGAGATTAAAGTCATTGTTTTCTAACCAAACAAAATCACACCAGTGGATCATGACACTTGTCCATTCCAGTAGACTGATAATCTTTTGTTTATCTGAACAATATAGGAACTTCGTCATTTGTTTAGTGTTAAAGGTAAACATGGGCTGAGAAGCTTGTTATTTTTCAGTGTCAGGAGAATTGTGGGAGTAATCTTTGTACAATATACAAAGCTCCCTTTATCAGTTCCTATTATGAACGCATTCTAAAATGTCTTTTGTGCTACAATACTCAAAAGGTAAAACAAGGCAGATAGATGAGTCTTGTACTATTTGTGACAGCTATTGTGGTGCTAAAAAAAATCTTTAACAAATTCAATTTAGTACTGTCCAGTTTTTGTATGATTATTGCTAAAAAAAACATCTTTGGATGATTTTCTGTCATCATTAAATTGTTTGGTTTATAATAATAGTGCTTTTAAACTAGAGATCTCCATCATGTTGGAATTTTGGCTGAGATGTTCTAGCTGCTAAGATGGAATATATGTGGCAAGAGAAAAAAAGGTTTTCTTTGAGGAAAATGTGGATGCCATTCTCAGCATTACTCCATGAAAACAGACTAGACTTTGATGCCATGTTGCATTCCTCTTTGATGGTACCTTCACACAGTATGATATTC